ACCCTAACCCTAACCCTAACCCTAACCCTAACCCTAACCCTAACCCTAACCCTAACCCTAACCCTAACCCTAACCCTAACCCTAACCCTAACCCTCACCAGCACCAGCAGTGAGCAAGCACCGCGTGCTCCTCGTCGTTGCTTGCGTGCTTGCTCAACAAGGAAAAGACAGTCGTCTGCCAAAGCTAGACCCGATGATCGAGCGATGGGATGTAAAGACGCAAGATTTAGCCTCGAGAGCAGCGCAGACGCAGCGCAGCTCAGCAACTCATGACTCTCGTAGACGAGCACTCACCTCACCTCTCTTGAGACGGTGCTTCGCCCGCCTCCTTCTTGATTCACGGAATCATGCGTGCCTGCACAGGTTCCCTCGCGGTCCTTGCATATTATGCGGTCAGGTGCATACCACCGCGCGTCGAGAGCTATCGCCGCGCCGGCCACGATGAGCGGCCCGGTATGCATGCAGCACGAACGGAGACCGCCGGAGTCCTCCGCGCGGAAGAGCGGCCGCCTGGACCCCGCGCACAGAAGCCGCGATAGCAAGCATGTGTCCTGTCCACTCACGACTGACTACTCAGCAGTCAGTCGAGTATCGCGACGGACTTGCTCATTGACATTCGCGTTTGTGCTTGCAGGCAAGCCCTCTAGAGCCACACGCTCGTTAGAGAATCGCGCCGCGTTCGCCGGCTTGAGAGAGCCGTCACAAGGCGGCACGATCCGCCACTAGTGATGTAACACTACAAGAGCTTTGGAGATACACTGAATGTGAAGCGTAATTAAATTGTATGTAGTCTATTGCCGAGCTGGGACCTCGGCCTTGAGGACCTGCACCTGGAGCACACGAGGGAAAGTGAAAGAAGCCAGCCTCTATTACATTGGTCTGGTCAAGAATGGCTGCCCTCCGACGTTGGCAGCACCACGCAAGCGGCGCATCGAGCGCAAAGCAAAGACGGACTCGCACTAGAAGGGCCTCAGCAAGAGCTGCAGGTCCGACGTGATCAAGACTTCTTTGAAGCACGAACGAGGATTCAGGCTAACGTGAAAGTTGAACATGACATCATGACCGCGATGAGCTCGCAAATGACTTGGAGATGCTTCGCGACGAAGAGTGAGAAGGTCTGGTGCAGCTCACAAAAGAGTGCGCAGTCCAAGCGATCAGGCGTCATTCACATGGCAAAGTGTCACGTGCATTTTTGCAAACAACTTCGTCGGACGGCTAATATGCTTGCTTCAGCCGTCCGCCTGAGCCGACTTTCCTTTCGCAAGTTCAGCAAGCCGGCAGGGCGGCGAGTCCAGCGCCACATGCGCCCTGCATCTGCGGCTTGGGGGAACGTCCGCCCTTTTTAGCCAAGTCGATGTTCTGTGCAGAAAGAATGGTAAGGCTGACGGCTCATTTTTGTTCCGGGTCTTGTTCAGCCTGACCCACCTTGAAATTGATATCGTGACACCCTCCCGAGTGGCAACGCAATATGACGGGAGGCCGGGTAGTGTCATCCCCGCTTCCTTTGAAGCCATCAAACGTAATGTCGGAGATGTCAAGTCCTCCAGGTTCCGAGAGGGAGCACTCGCCATGACCGCACCAAGCTTGATTGATCTCGATGGGATGCGCTACATCGTCGATGGTAAAGTCTTGGAAAAGGCAACCACGGATGTAGCCGCCTGGGGAAGGAAATGATGGTTTTTAATACGTCTGCGAAGCGCAAGGCAGAGGAAGATTATCAAGCTCACGAGATCTCGGATACGCCTTGATGTAGACGCCAGCTTGAGAGTTATGCATCGACACGCCTTTGACGCGCACGTCTTCGACTTCAAACGTGCCATCCGGCCCAGCACTGCCAATCGATACTGCACCCCCATCTGTGTGAAGCGAGCGGAGCCGTGAGAATGGTTTGAAGGCGTGTGCGATGTTTCGCCACTCACTGTGGCACTCGAGATCCTGCAGGGGGCGTGTGCACCGACGCAATCAGCCCGAGTCCACCGCAACAGAAGAGCACCCCATCTTACCTGCACCTCGACCCCGTGGGCTTTCTTGATTGAAAGGCACTCGTCGCCACTCGTCACGTTCGCCTGGCGGAAAGACGCCTTGGAATGTCAAACGAGGACGGCGAAGCACATGTCAACTGATTTCTGGAAGCTCCTCACGCTGTAGACTGAACATTGTTCTTCGCAAACCAAATCTATGCCGTCCGTCGTACCGACGTATGGAGGTTTGCTGCTGATCACTATATCGTGGACTTTGAAGTGAGATCCTCGGGCGGTGAGATGGTACATCTGATCTGACGAGAATGTCAGAATGTCTCGTCTCAAGCAAGAGCCTTGGCGTGGCTAAATGACTTACCGGCGCATCATCGAGCCTGATGTGGTCAACTTCGTAGTTGGTACCCTCGAAGAGCATCAACCTCGGTCTGTCTTTCAAGGCGTACTTGTCCCTAAAAGCACGGCCATTGCCAAAGAATGTTCCACCTCCCGTGACTCTGAAATTGTTCGAGTATCGAAAGTCGAAGATGGGACCGCCGCCCACGTTCGCGACTGTGAGGTGTAGATTGCCCTCCATTTGAAAGGTGAAGTCTTCGCAGGGATTCAGGATGACATGAGAGGCGATCGGCCAGTCCCCAGCCGGTACACGAAGCACAGCTCCTGAGCTGCGCTTGACGCACGACTTGAAGACTTGTTCGATGATGGGGCCCACGTCGAGCGTTGAAGAGGTCGCTCCACCCTGATCTACAATGTCGCAAATGGTAGTGCTTTGGCTGCTTGAGGGGTCGCCTACTTCTGGAGCTGCTCGCTCCTGATGAGTCGTCTTGAGAGCATCGCGAGTGTCTTGCACGGACCTCGACGTGTGTTTCGTGTACGCCCTCCGCAATACGTGAGGGGTGCGCGCCTCTAGACCAATCGCAGTGCCTGCTTGAAGCGCCAGCAACTGCAAGGAAAGGGTGAGCAAACAGGGAAAGAGATGCATGTCTGCGGAAAAGAAGTGATTAGCGTGCACGCTGCTGCAAGGATGTCGCTGATATTCGTCCTCCGTCAGGAGCGCAAGTTTGCAAGTGGATCAACCTCTCTTATAGCTGCGCAGGTCTGATCTTGCCCTGATCGAACGGGAGCTCTGCTTCGCCATCGCTCTGCCTTGCTGCCTTTGCGATACATGCGCTGTTGACCATCGCCCTCGCGTGGCTGCCGAGGGCACTCTTCGCATCGCGAGCAACGAGCAGAGGATCTTGACTGCGCTCGATGCTCGAGAGCTGCTCACCCGGTGCCCGCTCTCCTGCCAATCCACGAACCTGACTCCTCCTCTCCTTACTCAATCGAGCCCATCATCGTGCGGCACGGCGCTCGGCCGGCTGCAGATTGCCTGAGCATGCCCTGTAGAAAGCAATTCAACTTCCCCGTCATGCGATTCCCTTGAGACGCGTGGGACGTCTCCTTGCAACGCGGGCGTGAGACGCGCGGAATTAATACGACATTTACCGAGGTGCTAGCCAGATCTAGACGTGTCAGCGTGATTCCGAGCTCGGAGAAGCACATGTGTGACAGGCTTCCAGCCGAGGCTGTGTGCCTGACAGGTTCACGGCGTTTCATCTCACCCCGCGCGAACCAGACTTGCCGCCGCTCGTCGGATACTGAGTCATTTTGGAAGGGTGATGATAGTTGCGATGCATGGCGACAAGATTGCAAAGAGCGCGAATGAATTTCTTCAACTCTAGAATGTAGATGATCGCTTCACTTTTTACCGCTGCCAGCAGCCAGCTGCTTTTTGTACTCTGCTTCCATATCTCTTTGGACATTAGGCAAGACCGGTTGGTAATTCTTGAGCTCCATCGAGAACTTTGAGGGAGAAAGGGAACAAAGGGCGCGTCAGCGTGAGCAAGGCGATGCACAGAGTCCCTACCTAGCGCTGTGAGAAATCACATGACCTATACGCACCTCTCCTTTGCCTTGTGTCAAGCCCCGAAGCTGGCTGGAATAGCCAAACATGTCGTTCAAGCTGACTTCAGCCGTGATGGAGAACTCATCTTCTCTGACCTCGCTATCTTCCACCACGCCCCTCCTCTGATTGAGGGCACCAATGACAGCCCCTTGGAACTCCGTAGGAGCAGTGATCTCCACCGTCATCTTTGGCTCCAAGATCGTAGGCATGGCGTTGTGGAAAGCGGATCGAAAGGCGCCAATGGTGGCGAGGCGGAAGGCCAGTTCAGAGGAATCGACAGAGTGCGCCAATCCGTCTTCCATTACGTATCGAACACCAGTGACGGAGTGCCCCGATAGCGAGCCCTTCTCCAACGCTTCGTAGAAGCCCTGCGGAGCAGAGAGCGCGTGGCGTCAGCTCTTGCGTTGGGTGGGTAAAGACGTCGCACGCTCCAGATGGCCTCCACTCACCTTCTCGCAAGCAGGAAAGTAGCCGTTTGGAATGGCGTTGCCAACGATGCGGTTCTCAAAGGCGACGTCCTTGCCCGTTTCCTCGTCGAGAGTCATCGGCTCGATGAAGCTGGAAGCAGGAGAGGCGCGCGCGTCAGTGCGAGTGCTTCACGCTACGCAGGCGCGCGTTGTACTCACCCGGCCACACGAGCAAATTGTCCAGCTCCACCAGTCTGTTTCTTGTGCGTGTACGCGAAAGCAGCTCTCTGAGCAATCGTCTCTCTGAACGCGACTCGAGGTTTGCCCGTCTTGCAAGGTACGTTGTATTCTCTTCTCATTCTCTCGACGTAGATCTCCAGGTGCAATTCCCCCATTCCGCTAATGATGGTCTCACCGCTCTCGTTGTCAATATGTACTCTGAACGTCGGGTCTTCCTTTTGGAACCTGTTGAGTGCTCTGCTGAAATTGGCGGCGCTCGCGTCTTTGCCTTCTGGAATGATGGAAAGGCTGATGACGGGCTCCGGCACGTACATGCTCGTCATACTGAGCTGCGTCGTTCCATCGGTAAAGGTGTCGCCAGAACTGCAGTCCACTCCAAACATGGCGCAAATTTCCCCAGCACCAATGCTGTCCACATCCTCCATGTCGTTGCTGTGCATCCTCACCAATCGAGGCACTTTGACTCGCTTGCCGGTTCTAGCATTGTAGATCTGGTTACCGCGCTTGAGCGTACCTTGATACACTCGCAGATATGTCAGCTGCCCAAAACGACCTTCCTCTAGCTTGAAAGCCAGGCCAACCAGAGGTGCATCCGACTTTGGTGCCAAACCAACGACGGGCAACGAGGCCGACTTGCGCGCCACTTGTTGCTGCTCGTCATCGGCACCATCCTCCAGAGCTTGCTGGACCGCTTCCTCTTGGGCCGCCTTGGCGGCTGTGCTGCTCGTGTCCATCGCGGTAGCGGGCACCTCTGCAGGATTGGGCAAATACGCGCAAACGCCGTCGAGCATGGCTTGCACTCCCTTGTTCTTCATGGCAGTACCCATAAAGACTGGCGAGAACTTGCAGGCTAATGTGGAACGACGAATTGCAGTGGCCAATTCATCGATGCTAGGTTCGCGTTCTTCCAAGAAGATTTCTGCCATGCCGTCGTCCACATCTGCCAGCTGCTCTATCAGCTCTCGCCTCTTTTCCTCTGCAAGCTCCTTCATGTTATCAGGTACGCCGTCGACCTCGCGTATAGTGATGCTGAGAGAGGCGCAGCCCCCGGAGTGTGATGCGTCAGCGCCTGGGAGCAAGCTTGACCTGTCCACTGAATCCTCACTCACCCCTTTTCTCCGTCGTTGTGCACAGTCTTCCATCGGATAAGGTCGACGAGGCCCTCAAAGTTGTCGTCGCTACCAATAGGCAGCTGGACAGCGGCACAGGGGAATTTCAGTTTGGACCTGATCTGATCGATGACTCTCCATGGATTTGCCCCTTGCCTATCCATCTTGTTGATGAAGCTAATGCGGGGAACATTGTACCGCTTCATCTGCCTGTCCACTGTGATGGTCTGGCTTTGCACGCCAGAAGTAGCGCACAGCACCAGCACTGCACCATCGAGCACTCGCAGAGCTCTCTCCACCTCGATGGTGAAATCCACGTGACCTGGCGTGTCGATGATGTTAAAGTGGAATTCTTCCTTTCCAGAAGTCTCTCCGCTACCCACATCGCCCGATACGGCATCTCTTTGAGTGGGTGGAGTGGCCATCCACTTGCAATACGTAGCAGCGCTCTGAATGGTGATGCCCTTCTCCCTCTCGAGTTCCATGTGATCCATCTTTGCCCCTACATTGTCCCTGCCCCTGACCTCGTGAATCGCATTGATGCGTCCAGTGTAGAAGAGCACTCGCTCCGTCACTGTAGTCTTGCCGCTATCGATGTGCGCTGCGATTCCGATGTTCCGTCGACGAGACATGGCTTGTGCTTCGGCTCCCGTCAGTACAATGGAAGGGTCTATGGCCGAGACGACGGTGGAAGAGGTCGCCACCGATGCCATGCCTGCTGTGCATCCTGCAAGCACGCCACCAGGCTGACGAGCGATCCGAAGACCAGCACTGGAAGCACCAAGGCGGCGCGCGCTGGTTGAGATGGAGCTTGGCGAGCATCTGGAGCTGCTAGCAGTCCGTGCTGGCGCCGCTGCGGTGGAGAGACATCGTGCGTGTACGGCGCCCATGAGGCCAAAGCCCCGCTGTGTTGTGCCTCGCACCAGCATCTTGCGAGTGAATGTATGCGCTCCAAGCTGGACCAGCCGGATAGCACGATCAGCGTCAAGATGCGCTCGAGCGGTCGAGCAGGTCTCTTGATGCGATTGAATCAAGAATGTTGGAGTGAACGTTCAAGATCGACGCATTCAGGTGCTAAATTGCGAATCTGCTTGTTCGCCATCAGCTAGGAAGACGTGCGATTTGCTCCCGCATGTAGTCGCACGCACCGCACGCACCTGTCTGCCCGAGCCATCAGGAGATCAAGAGTCTCATCATGAATGATTCTGATTCTTGATTTGAAAAAAATCCAAAAATCCTCGGGTCTGGAAGCCATCACGTGATCATCCCGACTCCACACCACTCGCACGGGTCGCGCTCTGACTCTACGTCGACGCGCTGAACGATTGACCTCCTCTCTGCGCCGCATGCTTTGCAAGATGCGGAGCGGTGCCTGAGGGAAGGCATCCAGCTGCAGGCATCCAGGCAGCATGCAGCGCAGCGGGCCGGATCACGCGCGCGGATCCAACATGTTGGATGCGAGGGGATTGCGGCGGGGCAGCAGGCAGCGTACGGGAGTTGCACTTGTGACGATCGTGAATGCGGCCGATGGCTCGTCGTTCTTCTACCCTTGCGTAGTTCAAAGCCGCTCGCTTCCCGTTCGTTCCTCGCGCGGTGGCGCAATAAGCAATGTGGGGTCAAGGATCGCTTTGTGATCGCGCGCTGTATGTATAGGTCAGCAGACTTTTGCTCCGTCCAGCTGGCGTTGACGGAGATGCGAAGTTTGCTCCATGTCTCGGCGCTGCAGAAGCATATGTTTCACGATCCATTGATTGACTTGCTTCATGGCAGTCGTGGGCTCATGGAGCTCTCGAACTGACTGCTGTGCGGTACAACGTGTTGTGTTGGGTGTCCGCGGCCAACCGACGACGCGCGGGTGGAGGCCGCGACGCGGTGCAACGTCCGCGAAAGCTGATGGCTTCCATATAGCATGTTTGAGGGTGCTGTCTCTGCGCCTTGCGCGGACACGCTGCAACTTTAATTCTGCCAAGCCTTGCGTGGGTCAGGCGCTTGTATATAAAGGAGAGGAACACGATTCACCTGCAACGAACACTCACGACTCGTGATCACGATTTGGATGAACCAAGCATCAGCTAGGCGGCCACATTCGCCTTCCTTTCTCACCTTCACCACTCTGAAACCCCCCATCCACATACTCACAGGCAAAGCATCCCTCTCTTGGCCACGCCGACCCAACCAGCATGTTCTCGCGCCGCTTTGTGCTGCTCCAGTGGAGTCTAGCTCTGCTCTTGACCGCCTCCTTCGTCCTTGCCCAATCGGCACCCGGAGAGACGCTGCTCGACCCACAAGCAACGTGCCCACAAGAGACGAGGGACTCCATCACTACCTGCTTGGGACAGGTGGAGGTGGACGAGTCTCAGAGACCTGGTGGACCTTGCAATGACGGTGATTGGCCATGCATCTGCAACAAGCAGTACGGTCTCATCGTGAGTCGAGAGCGGGGTTAGGGTTCGAGGAAGCATATACATGTTCTTCTATATGTGCCTGCTTGCCTGCAGCGGACCCCGCCGCGCCGCGCCGCGCCAGACCTCCAGTGAGACACGTTGTAACTCACTCGCACCACTTTGCGTCTCACTTTGTTTGCTCAGGCTTGCTACGCTCCATGCCCAGGCATCCAGCCGGCCGAAGATGTAACTTACAACAATGTGAGTGTGTAGGAGGTGAAACCTCGATCAAGACACAATGCTCGCCCCAACAACGAGCGAGGTGTGGCCTCGCGCGCGTGTGTGCATATACATGCCCGTCTTTTGGATCTACCTTTACCGTGCAACGCTCTAACATCTCTCCTTTTCTCATCTCACTACAAGAACAATTGCGCGGGTCAGCACAATGGAGTGAGGAATGGAGCGGCGGGCGGACCGGCTACGTACAGCGGCGCGGCTCTCACCACCACAGCTCCCAATGGAGCGACTGGCACCGCTGGCAGTGCAGGCGGAGCTACGTGAGTGATGTTCGTGCATGCGCGTCGAGAATCGCGAGTGCGCGGCTCGCAACTCAAATCGAGGGACGCAAGCAGGCCATGGTGACGTGCTTCTACACTTGACTAAACTCATGTCCTGATCTCTATGCATGCATGCAGCGCAACGACGGAACCCGGCGCAAGCAGCGCCTCAAACAGCAGCGCTCCCAACGCGACCAGCACCGGCAGCAGCAGCAGCACGAGCACGAGCACGAGCAGTCCTGCGGTCAACAGCACGAGCACCTCGACTCGTGCAGGTTCCGGCGACGGTGCGCTCTCCTCTCTTCATTTCGGATCTGCTCAGATCGGCACTGTGCTGGCAATGTGTCTTGCCAGTCTGATTGGGGCCATCTTTGTGCTCTGAGGAGCCACACTGTGCACGAAACAGGCGCACGAACCTCGAAAGGGCTGCTAGCAAGGGACGATGGCCCCTCCGCCTCTCAACGCCACTCGGACCGCACACGGCGCACGAGCAGTCCCACCGAGACTGTTCGGTAGACGCAGTGCACCTCGGCAATCCGGTTCATCCGCTTCGAAAACAAAGGTCCCGCTGATGCTGGCGCAGTGCGCGTCGTACCACGCACATCCTATGCGCCGCTCAAACAAAGTCGCGCTTGTGCCCTCGCTCCAACCTCGCTCTCTCCCACGTCAACTTTCTCGCCTACCCTTTCATCCCTCCTAGCCAGTCCCGAATCTCAAAAAGCCATCTCTCTCTGCACGCCATCCCAACGTCCGTCGCACCCTCTGAACAATCGCACAAGACCACTCATAAACACGTGTACACCCACACCACTTTTCATCCCATCGCATCGCATTTGCGTCTCGAGCGAGATCTCCCCCTCCGTCGTGCTTCGTGCATTCAACAAGCGCGTCGATCTCGAGAATGCTCCGAACGCGAGACTTTCTCGATCGTCGAGAAATGGTCGCACGAGCTTCGCGATCATCAGTCGACGCGCACCAATGTCAGCTTTCATTATGATCGGTTGGTTGCATGCTTGCATGCTTTAGCTTGAAAGCGTCGCACTTTGACAGTGAATGCGTCCTCTTCAATGGCCAGGCTCAAATGACAAAGCCTCAGAAGCTCTAGTGGGTGCATCGCATCAAATTTACGAATTGCGAAGCTCATCTTCGTCCATTGACGCTGCTTGGTTGTTGGCTTGCACATCGCCTTGGGCTGACGCGTCAACTCCAGCACTGGCAGCCAAACCGCTGACATTCGCCCGACCCCCGCCCGTTCCATTCGACTCGCTCGATGCTGCCGCAGCCGCAGCCGCTGCGGCTGCTCGTTTGCGATCTTTTTTAGATTCTGGTCTGGCTGCTTTTCCGGGGCCCCAGTTTGGCAGAGGGTTTAGCTGCGGCAAGCAGGAGGAGCCATCGACAGAACCGTCAGCCTTTCCGATACTGATGCCAGACCGTAGGGGAGCACGCTCCGTGAGCTGAAGGTCTTGCCACTAGAGCACACTCACTTGATACTTGACGCCTGCGTTTTTCTTGCCGTCCTGGTCCAGTCCGAGGACCTGCCTCGTCTGCGGATGATCCTTGTCAAGCTCGAATGTCGTAGCGCACTCCTTCGCGAGCAATCTCCTCGCCGGACTATTCTCGTGCACATTCTTTTCATTGATCGGCGACTTCTCCTTGACCCACTGTCTCCAGAGATCTCGCACCACAGTCGGACTAGCATTCGTCTTGATGCTAGCCGGCTGCGCATGACTTCTAGAGACTTCGTATCCCGCGTTCAAGAGACACGAGACGACAGCGGTGAGGGGAATGTTGGTCGTATGGAAGTAGCTGGAGATCTTCGGTGGGATGAAGAAGAATGGAGAGGAAAGCTCCTTGCTTGCCATTCCCACCATACCACGGATACGCGGAGCTGTACGGAAGCGCACGGGCGCTCGCTCCAGAACCTCAAGCATCTCCTCGGCGAAGCTGGGCGTATGTAGCGGTCCGAGCCACATGGGGCCCGCCACCTGCAAAGTGCCGGGAAGTCCGCACAACAAAGAAGACAAAGGGTCAGCTGTGCACCAAGAACTTGACACCTCCTACCGATCGCCCGGCGCTGCATTCCTTTTGCTCCTCCCCAAGCGCTCGCCTCAGAGTAGCGGTTCATGGATTGTCTCCCCACGTGTATTGGGTAAGCCTAACGAGATTCCTGAATAGTACATGTGTAGCTCATCTTCGACGTACGGCGCTTTCGCCTTCCTCGCACTTTGCGTCCTCCCTGATCATCGCTCGCACTCACATGAAATCGACTATCGCATTCCTGACAGTTGGTACCCACAGTATGGCTAGTGCCAGCCTGATACTTGATCAGATCCGCTCTCCCCTCTGCCTTGTTGCGTCCGAAAGCATTTGCGTCCCAATTACCGCAATCAGGACAAGTCTGCACGGTGCCCATGGTGCTAGCCAGCATCTTGACATCCACAGGCCTGGTGTGTACGCTGACAAACACTCGGAGATAAAAGTCTATAGAAAGACTGAGCAGGGGCGTGATGGCTCGACCGTACCTTCCTGCCGTGGTGGCAATCAAGCCCAAAACCAACCTCAGCGCAACTTCGTGCACGAAGTCGTTCCGCGTCGTCGTGCCGCCGTACAAGGAGTAGGCTCGTTCGGGATACGCGTTCCCCGCCAGCACCACCAGGTCGGTGCAAGTGACGCACAGCAGACCTCCGTCCGCCACGGCTTGGACTGCTCCGTCTATGAACATCGATGCGCTACCGTACGGATCCAAATCAATCACCGAGTACTGCTTGTCCTTCGCTCGTGAAGTGTAGAGGATCTCGATGGCATCTTGCTCTGTCACATGGATCTTGCATTTGGGATGAATAGCTGGATGGCCAGCCCCATTGGCTGCGCCATTGCTGGCAAACTGCGCGCTCGCAGCCTCAGAAGACGAAGCGCTGCGAGCCGCGGCGGCAGCAGCTTCGGCAGTTGAGCTGGCTTCCGCATCATCCTTCTCCGGCTCTCCTCGATCCAATTCGGGCGCCCACTGCTTGATGTCGCGATTAGCAGGGAAGTTCAGAGCCACATTCTTCCAAATGGCTTGCACAGCAGTGGGCGAGAGATCGTTGGCGTGCACACTCTTCAAGTTCGGAATCTCTCGAGCATACCGAATGGACCTCAAGCCTGTTGCAGAGAGAGCTTCGAAGATGTTGAAGGTAAAGGGTCGGTGGGAGGAATCGATGTGTGCGTGCGAGCTGGTGCTGGCAGTAGAGACGTCGCCCGCTGCTGTTGCTGCTGCTGTTGAAGAAGCGCTGGCCGACAAGTCTGCCCTTTTGGCAGATGTGCTGGAGGCGTTGTCAAGCGAGGCTGCGTCTGACGCTGCAAGCAGAGCGTAGCTTTCGCGTAAGCTGGTCGCGCTCATCACGCCCATCTCACACGACGGCACGTCACTCACCATTAGACGTCGCCGTGTGCGCGATTTTTCTCCTCTTGCCCCTGCCATTCGCGCTTCTTTCTTTTCTCTTGCTGATCGCCTGTTCGAACTTTTCCCTCTTCTCCCTGTCCCTCCGCTCGGCCCAGGTACGAATCGCAAGCACGGAGAGGTCCCTGTTAAATTCCTGTACAGGATTCAGGAAAGCGGCGTCCGATTTGGGTATGGAGATGACCGCTGAGCCTTCCTTGAAAGCCGATTGGTCCGACGAGATGCCCAGTGCGGCAGCTGCGCTTGTGCTCAACGCGACGGGCGTAGGCGCCATGGTCAGATTGAGCGCCGGGCGTTGGAGAGAGAGAAAAGACGATGCGCAGACGGTGCTGATGCGGCGAGGGAACATTCAAGGGCGCACGTACGAGGCGATTGGCTTGCTTGGGGATGCGTGAGCGGCTGTGCGTGAGGGGAGGTCGAAGCGAGAAGCGAGAAGCGAGAAGGCGTTGAACGTGGGCTGAGCGTAAAAGGATTAGCGAAGGAGCGCGGAAGGGTGTATGCGTGGTACAGAATACAGATGAGGTCGCTTGCGAGTGACGGTGATTGTGACGGTAATGGTGATGACGAGATTGAGTGAGAAACGGCCGGATGCTTGGGGGGGCGGATGCGGGTATTTGCGTGTGCGCCTGCGATCAAGGCATGGGTGTGAAAAGTCGTGAGTCAAGTGAAGCCGAGTGCCGCGACTCATTAGACTCGACTCGACTCCATCCAACTCGACACGCGCCTCACACGCGCCGGGGCCCAAAAAAAAAAAGCAGAAAAAAGGTCGCGCGCGCGCGCGCAGGGCAAAGGTGAAGTCGAGATCACGTGATTCTATTTCCATCAGCTGATTCTTGATTCAATTCACATTTTTGATTCTTGATTCCTGATTTTTGGCCCCGCTGCGCCGCGGAAGCACACAGCCGCGAGAGAAGAAGTGGTGCACACACACAGCACACAGCACACAGCACACACGCCCATCAGCTAGACAACGAGCGTCAAGCCGTGCATGATCGGACTCAAGATTCTTGATTCTTGATTGTGATTGCCTTCTCCCTCACATCCAACGTCTCAACTGTCAGACCACATTCCTTGCCTCTACGCCCGTTTCATCCAACCGCAGCAGAATTTGCACTTTGACACGGCCCAGTCGCCCCTCTCTCCAGCCCTCCAGCCCTCCAGCCCTCCAGCCCTCGCCATCATGTCTCGATTCCTGCGTCGAGCTCCCGCTCCCTCAACCTCTGTCGACAAATCCTCCCTGCCAGTCTCTCACGACCCCATCCTCGCGCCTCTTCCATCCACCTTGGCATCACTGCAGTCTCGACCTCCCAGCGCCCCTCTTTCGGCCGCTCAGCAGGATCTCCTTGCTGCTCTCGGCGCATACGTGTGGGAGCTGCACGGCAGGGGTTGGGAAGATGATGCGGAGCTGAGCAAGAGCAGGACGGTCACCGAGACTGCAGGCAGCTCCATCGAACCTGCTCACAAGGCGAAAGAATCGGCATCAGCAGCGTCAACTTCGACCTCGCCCGCTCCAGCGTGGTACAGGACGTGGGAAGAAACGTTTCTAAAAGATGCCACCACATTGCCTCGCTACGCCCGCGCTTCCAAGTGGGACCTGGAAAACGCCAAGAAGAGGATCAGCGAGACATTGTACTGGAGACGCAGCTACAGGCCTGAGCTGATCAGCCCGGACGAGGTGGTGGAGGAGGCCAAAACTGGCAAACAAGTGCTCAGCGGGTTTGACAAGGACGGCAGACCGGTGCTCTACCTCAGACCTGGAAGGTGAGCCAGGCGTGTGACAGACAGACAATAAAGGCGCATACATGCTCACGACTTGCCATCCTTGCGCTCCGCATGCGTCAAGAGAGAATACGACACCTTCTCCTCGACAAATCAGATTCCTGGTGTACGCGCTGGAAAGATCTTTGGGTGGGTTGCAGTGTGCAGCGTGCAGCGTGCAAAGAGTCTGGACTTCCAATCACTCGCTGACTGAGGCGTGCATGGCCTACTTTCACCTGTGTTGGACTGTGCAGACATCGCTCCGGAGGGCGTAGAGACGCTGACGATCATCATCGATTACAAGTCCGCAACTCAAGCTTCCAATCCCTCGCTGTCGCAAGGTGAGCAACCCAGCATCTCTCTCCTAGGTCTCCATTCTACCTGTATGCGCTTTGCGTTGCTGAAGTGCGCCATCTTGCATGCTCTTGACCCGCCCTTTCAGCTCTCAAAGTGCTCAACATTTTGCAGGCTCACTATGTCGAGAGGATGGGCCGAGCGTTCGTCTGCAACGTGCCGTGGTACCTGGTGAGTGTCTTGGCAGAGGGAACGCAGCAGAGCGGCTCGGTCGACGCGGCCACTGATAGTCACTCACCAATGTCGCTCGTGCTTTGCGCCGCAGAACGCCTTCTTTAGCGCCATTTCGCCCTTTTTGGATCCCGCTACTAGAGCCAAGATCAGGTTCAACGCAAAGTTGGAAGAGTTTGTGGATCTGGACCTGCTTGATGCGGAGTTTGGCGGCAGACACCGATACGTGTGGGACTTTGAAAAGGTGAGTGTCGGGGCGTTGTCCATTGACGATTAGCACGGAGGAGAGGCACGAGCGATTCTGCGTCCTCTTGAACAAGACCGACGCCCGTTGTACTGCGAGTGGACTGATTCTACCTCACCCTTCCCTTGGCTATGCAGTACTGGACTCCTCTGATGAATGCGGCAAAGGTCATGCCGGATGGTACCAGGAGAGCGGGAGCCAGAAGAGCGCCAACTGAGCAATGCACTGGACCCGCTCTCTCCTCGAATGACGCGCCCACCCCCGACGTCGTGAGCTCAGCCGCATCCCTCGCCCCTGCTTCGGAGGACCAATCAGGAGCTCTAGAGCCCCCGCGATCGAATGGCACTGAAGAGGGACAAACCATCTCAAGGTTCTTGAATCGCCAGACGGAGAGTGCGCCGTCGAGCGGTGTTCAGGAAAAGGATGGTGACAACGCCACAGCGCCCACGAGCACGTCTGCGTCTGCTTCTGCTTCAGAGTACGGCCAAGATTCCCAAGCCTCGACAGCTGCTACCACAATCGCATCTCAATCCTCCTCCTCCTCGTCCGAAGCTGCGGGGGATGTCGCTCAGACGTTATCTCGCACCAAGATCGCCTGAGCTCACAGAGTGGGATCTCAGATTTCGAAATGGGTAAATACGTCGATACGCGACTGCCCTCTGGGTGTTTTCCTCCTTCATCTTTCCAGCTCGCCTCGGCCGCTCCCTGCAGCCCAGCCTAGAGTTGATTCGTGGCTTCCACACCTCGTCTCGCACGAAGCGCGCCAAAATGTGCAGCAGCTCGAAATGATCTCACCTCTTCTCGCTCGATGACCCTGGAAATGGTCCGTTTGGCTCGCTGCATTTTTTTTTTTTCAATCCTCACGCAATATAGATACCATAGATGCAACTCCCACTCGGGTCGTAGCACGTTGTGGCTGTGCTCTGCGTGCGCGTGACTAGCAATATCCTGTGTGTCGTTGAGAAAGGGTCCGAGGCTTGCTTGCGCTAACACTAAGAAATTGTGAGGAGTGAACGACCAAAAATTGTGCATTGCCATGATGCATGCCGAATTGGTAAAGCTGGCTAGGTAGGAAACTTGAAAATGCCCCAGCGAGCACAATCAGAAAAGGCCACATACGGAAGAGGCGTGCAAAGTGGGGGAGAATTTCGAGGCGCGAGAGAACAAAGGGACCACCACGACCCCTCAAAACTCCTCCGCATCAGCTCTCAAAATGATCTCCTGATAAAACTTGCTCAGTCGACTTCGTTTTGTCGCGTAGTGCTCGTTCTCGGCATGCACGCCCTTGACCGTACCCAATCCGCTCGGATCCTTTTCGAAGGATGAAGGGCCGTAGCGGAAAATATTGCGAGTGAGGGCCCAATAATGACGCGTGTCGGTGTTGCCTTGCATCATGGCGGGGGCCTGAGAAGAGAGCAAGAAGGATGTGCAGCAAGACGTCAGGATGAAGAGGTCGGACAGAACGTTACGCCCTCCTTGCGAGGAGGTCAAGCGGAACACGCGTGCGGCTCATGCCATCTCAACACCCGGATGCGCAGACTCACAACGCGGACTTCCTGACCCGTGTGGTCAGTGGGATAAGTCTGGCGAATCACGCTAGAGAGTAATCTCCATGCTTTTGCATCTTTTCCCTGCGTCGGTGTAACAGGAGCCGGTTCCAGCGGACTCTCCCAAGCTTCGATGACGAGCTTGCCACCGGTCCCGTCGTACGTCACATATCCCTCGCATTGGTCTTGCCAACGTATAGAAGACTGCTTTGAAGAATTTTCGCAGATGTGGCCCATCCAGTACGACTTTGCATCGACCTTCTCTCCCCACGCTGTCAACTCCAAGTTGAACTTTTCTGCAAATCGCTTCAGCAGGTCTGTCCATTCTTGTTGCAAGTATTTGACGCTGGACCAAGGAGCGATTCGATGGTCCACAGATGCGCTAGCGACGGGCGGCAAAGCATTGATCTTCACACCTCCCTGAATCACATCGATCGCGTGCGTCGTAAAGAAAGGATTAGCCAAATTTCGAGGCAGAACAGCCTTGACTGCATCTTCTGCCCTGGCTACCCTTCGAAGACCGTGCGGATCGTGACGCAGCGAGTCCAACATGGTTGATACGGTGAGTCCTTTGCGACTTGTGTGGCCGTCGTCACTTGTTGCAACCCAGTCATTTGCGCGGACAGACCGCTTCGCCCAGGCAAGGTTTCTGAGTGCGCGTTTGAGAGCAGGGTCCATGACGGGCGAGTCGACCAGACACATGAGCGTGTTCAAGTGCGCGGAATCATCCCCAACCTTTTTTCCAAGTCTAACCTGCTCCGGATACCTTTCGAGCTCGGCCAAGATGGCGCTGAGCATACCTATGCTGGTGTGCCTTGGGGAGATGGAAGAGTGTCCACCGGCAGACTCTACACGGAGCGTAATGTGCATCGCTCCTTTCTCCTCCGTACCTACTAGCGCGACGGGTACACCGTAGCCCGACGATGACGAAAGGTTGGGTGTGCCTTCGTCCAAGAGGAACGCGAAGCTGTCCTTGCCCCACACCTTTTCCAGATGCGCACCAATATGCCTTCCACCTTGAGGTCCAGATGCTTCTTCCTGCGCGCCGCAAGTGATGACGAGGCGTGCTTGTCAGCACTGCGGCTGCCGGATTTGCTCATCACCCAGCACTCACATCAAAACCAAAGGCAACGACGATGCCTCGCTTCGGCACGAACGTGCTCTCTTCACTAAGCAAACGTTCCAGCGCAGACATGATGCCTACTAGCCAAGCCTTGGCATCGTACGATCCTCTTCCCCAAACAACGCCTTGTTCATCCACGTGGCCCGAATGCGGTGGATATTTCCACTGGTCCAGCGTCGCCTCCAAGACCGGCACAGTGTCTGCTCGACAAGGGGGTGGGTATGTGCTTTAAGAGTAGCGATTCGAGTGCATATATGCGCGAGTGCGACTCACCCTGATGAGCAGTGATCAGCACAGGCTTCAAGTTCTCATCGCTCCCTTTCCAAGTGTACACCAGACCATGTTGATTGACAACATCTCTGTGTATGCGATCATCCTGATGAGCCAGCGGGAAAGCTTGCTCCATCCACTTTTTGAATGGTCCAAACCTGTCCTCCCAGAGTGAGGGATTTTCCGTTGGAGAGGGCCAATTGTCGCCAATGGAGGTGTCGATCTTGACCGATTCGCTAAGCAGGGTAGCGTATCGCGCCTCATCCTCTTCCGCGCGTGCACGGGCACGCGAACCCTTGGCGTCGAGGTTGAAGTGAAGAGCGCTTGCGTTGATTGGGACTTGAGGACATTCGCGCTCCAGATCCAAGCTCTTGTAGGCGGCAACCGACAAGTCATCGAGCAGCGAAGTGAAGCGTGAGTTGATGTGTGGCTCGGAGAGAGCTGCGTCGATGTAGACAAAGGACAGGGCTAACAAGGGGAGGGTGAAGAGTGCAGCAAGCAGCTTGTATGCGCGTGCAGGCTGCTTATTGAATGTCGGCGATGTGAGGATGCTGCCCCTATGCTTGTCATCGGCTTTGCGTTCGCCGACAAGGGACTTTTCCTTGCCTCCGGTCATCCTGACCAAATGGATGCTTTGCTGCTTTGAATATGCTGCGCAAGAGTCTGAGTGTTGAGCTCTGGACTGTCAAAGTGCCTGCGACCGAGAAGGTATTCGAAGTAGTCGGAGACTGGCGCAGCTAGTTGCGGGTCTTGGCTGGGTCAGGGTGCGTTTGCAATTCTAGCTCTGATGTATGCGTGTGGGTCGTAATGGGGCAGCAGTATCATAGTCCGGCTTATGGTCTGCAATCAAGAATCGCGAATGTGAATGGAGGCAGTCACTTTGACGCTGAAGCGAGTGATCAGGGCACTCCGTCTCTGACTTCAAGCTGCGCAGATGTATGCTCCACATCGTGGCGATCTGGGTCGCGGTTTCTTTGTCACAACTCTTGACTCCATTTTGAATTGACAACCGCAACATTTTCTTATCAAGATGTTCCAAAATCAAAAACCACATTCAGAAATATAAACCACCAATCGTCATTTTTAATTAAGAGTCGAGACACTCAAGACTCAAGACTTATGTACATATACGATCAAGGAGGACCGGAATTCGAAATGCCACGTGACTCTTCAACTCCCAAGCGGCACTCAAACTCTTGACTTTGCTGGTTTGATGAGTCTTTGAGTTGGACCGCATGACCCCGCGGCCCGTGCACCTTAATTCAAGACTTGGATCGAGATTCTCACGCGACCCCGCGCGCTGCTCCCACGATTGCCGCGATGATTGCCGCACAATCTCGAATTCGTGAATCTGATGAATCTCGAACAAATTAGTCTTGGGTAATTTGAAGATCTGGCGGACCAACGATCTGAAACTTGCGCCTCCACTTGACTGCTCTATATGTAACTCGATCAGACTCTAGACTTTGTCTGTGACGACTGACTGGATCGAACGAAGTCTTTGGGTGTGAGGCTCGGTGCAAACTTTTGCTTGCATTTGTGATTCTTGTGTGACTCGACTCAACTTCCATTCACAGAAATCTGATTGGACGCTCCGTCCGGCTTGGCTCCCCTGCAGCCAGCAGTGGCGCCCTGGGTCATCTGGACCCTTGATCGGCTGACCACGAAGTGAGGTCAAAGCAGGGGCTGCTGGCTGCTGCCCTCGCCTGTGCTTCACCCCTCATCGTGTCTGCCCACCGAGCATCCTGCAAAAGGGATGGTCGCGTGCATCCTGCGTCCTTCAAGATTGCATATGCAACCAAGGACTAGTCACGAGGCACGAGTGCATGAACACACATTTGTGCGCCAATCCATCACTGGACCCACGACTCGCACGGACAGTGCGCTTGCATTTGCATGAAGTCCGTGCGTGTGGCGATTCTCCGCTTTACAGCGCATGCAGGTCCTCATTCCCAATCGCCGTCCGGCTGCTGCCCATCTCGACATCATGCTGTTCTACAGAAGTGTTCTAATCGTGAGTCAAACGGTACATGGTGATGAGGCTGTTCCTGACGCCGCACGCGCCGTCGCCGTCAGTCGATCAAAATCGGCTTCCACTCATTCTTGATTGCGTTCGAGCTTGCGCGGTCTATGTAGGTAGTCTTGATGCAGGGTCTTCATCCAAATTTGAGTGCACGGCTGGCAAGAGTTTTGAAGCCGCGGAAACAGCTGTGAGGTCGGAGTCTTTGGTGAGAAGTGGGATTCAGAGACGAATAGGGGCTGCTCGCATGAGAGGTGAATCACGAATTTAGACTTGTGACTGCTAGCGCGCTGCCGGGTGCGCGGGTGCGCTAGGGCGGGTTACTGTTTTGAGGGGCCTCGCTGCACGACCATGTTTGCGTCCCATCATCAGTCACATCGATGCGCACTGAGGGTCACAATACGATGCGACCCTCTCTTGCTCCCTCGTTTGATTACGTCACGAGAAGACGGCAGGGTCCTTCCTCCAGCTTCTCTGCGCAATTCTAGGAGTGCATGTAGCACCCTCCTTTTCGTTTCGAGCAATCCTCGCCCCCCACACGTACCGCAAGTTCTCATCGCTCACAGAGCAGGTCTGGAACACTCGCTGAACCACAGAAGTTCAGACGCACCCAAGATGGAGCAATCTGGTCAACTTCCCGCCAAGTCAGCATTTCGGGGTCCTTCGGCATCGTACGCGACCTGAAGGAGATCGCAATGCTGATTGGCCTTCCTCAACAATCTGTCTAACGCAAGATGCTGCCATGGTCGTATCGGTACCGCTGAGTCACTCCAGGCTTATAAATAGTGGCCTTCGAAAATGGACTTGGAGATCATCTTGTCACCAGGGCCCGCATGGGCACCAGGCTCGCAACGCCTTCCCTGGTTCAGACCTCCCTCGCACAACCCCTTCCCTTGCGCACTCCTCCCTCCCGCTTCTGCGTCTCACGCGCTGATCCTCACTACATCTTTCTCGCTCGGCATTCTATCCCACTGCGCGCCGGCTACGCTCTTCTCGACGCCCCTCTCCAACTCGGCGCAAGCCTTTGAAAGGCCCTTCCCGACCACATGCCGCGTGCACACCGTCTAGAACCAAAGCGAAAATGGCTTCACCGCGATTCGATCCCAAAACCTTCCAGACCTGGAGGGACTCTGAGCGTGAACAGGTCATCCTCGTCGGGAGTGGCATGTCCGCTTGCTCCGGACTGCTGATGTGGACGGCCTTCGTCACTGCAATCATACATCGGCTTTGTCACATAGCTCTTTGCCCTATCGATGACGGTCACCCTATCGATGACGGTCACAACTCGTGCGAGGAACTCAAGGACAAATTCATCGAGGTTCGCGACATTCTGCAGAAGCTTGGAGCCAATTTCGAAGACTACCGCATTACCGACCTATTCGTCCGACGTCTTGGCAAGAAATACCTCGGTATCATGTCAGCATTCGATGTATCAAAGCCAAATTCACTCCATCAAGTGAGTGTGCTTGCTTGAACTCAAGAAGTGGGAGATAGTTCGTGCTCAAAGCTGGTTATCACTTCTACGCCTGTTGCAGGAATTGATTGATCGCTTGATATCGTCCGGTTCGGACTCGGTGAAGGGCGTACTTACCACGAACTTTGACACTTGCTTCGACGAGGCCCTTCGCGAGGCATCCAAACACCAGAAAGTGCTCCTCTGCGAGATGACTGGAAACGAACTGGTAGACAAGGCCCGTGTGGATAAGGCCGAGGAGCGTGCATTGCGACTAGGCAACAGACTTTGCGTTGTCTTCCTCTGTCAATCCTTCGAAGCGTTTCGCACGATCGCGCATTGGTTCCCCGACATCCTGTCGAAGCCTTCCTCAAGGTTCCTCTTCAATATCCACGGCACCGCACGCAATCCTTCGAGTTGCATCGACAGCAATTTTCAGCGTCATCAGGAACTACCTTTCCCTCTCGCTATGGTCCTTGAAATGATCTACCAAAGCTCAATCGTCATCACCACGGGCTGGAGCGGCTTAGACCTGAAGGAGAATGCAGACTATCTACTCATGGTTCGCAATGCACCTAGGCTGCAGCTTTTAGTGGGCACTCGACGCGACTGCCTTGATGCTCTTTTCGGCCCCGTAGTCAAAGCTGTGGAGGACTGCCAAGTGAACGAAAACGACAATCAAAGAACTCAGGATCCACCGCTTGCCTTTGGCGAAAATGGCCCAACACCGCTGCCGCAAGATTCACGGGTCGAATCCTTTCAAATTCCATACGAGGGCTGCACTAGCGAGAGCGAGTCATCTTTCACCAACGATCTTAATCGCAAGCTCGACAAGGTCTGCCCACGCCCAGTCCTGGGCTTGGGTGTCCTGTGGGATCTGTACACTGCGATGCGAATTGAAAAAGATCGTCTTCTCGAAGCGTCGGATCGGCGGGACGTGCAACGAGTCGAGAAGCTCGAGATGTGCAGCAAGCGCCTCGAAAGTATCCATTGCCTCCTCACTCCGTGCCTCAAGAAACTCGTCTCCACATACGGCGCTGGCCCAGATGAGGCTGCTTGGACAGCATTAGCGATCAATCTTCAACTTGCTCAGACATACCAAACGGATACCGTTCAAAGACGCTCAGCCCTCCGCTTAGACGACATCGTTCGAAGATTGAGCAGCAAAGATTTTAAACACGCGGAAGCTCAGGTCACAGAGCTGATCAATGCATTACAGGAAATCGCTGAGGAGCTTGGGGCTGCGCCAGACCTATGGCCGGATATATGGGTCCCCGGCGCCTTGTCGGCGATACTTTCGAACTCTCTGGCCAAGCAAGGCGATTCTAACGATCCTGCAAGGCTGCGCTACCGCCAGTACATGGAGTCTGCAAGACGCGCCGCGGAGCGTGCGGGAAACACATGGGGTTTGCAAGCCGTGCGTGAACTCCAAACACAATTCGAGCAGACCGAAGATCAGGGCACCGTCATACCGCTTTTCAGACAGCAATTACAGTTGGACGAGGTTTATCAAGCCCCTGAGCTCGCGCCTCTGGTCTTCGACAACATTTCGCCAGCCCGATCCATGCGCGACATCCCACAAGCCAAATATCTACGCGGCATAATCAATCTTGCTCTGCTTCTTGGAGAGAAGGTCGCCCTCCCCGACAACTTTGCACTCAACTCACGCTGCTTTGTCCACGAAATTCTCGGTCCTCTCGAAGAGAGCGACCGAATCAAGCTGCTCGGCCAATGCACATTGATTCTACCCAACGGATCGTCTGCGAAAGACCGCCGGAAGGAAATGTTGGACACGCGTACTTTCCTCAGCGAAAACATAGATTCTAGGAAGATGAAGGACCTCACTGATCTCTACGAACCGACGCCGTCTCCGAGCCTGAAGCGCGGCTATCATGATTCGGAGGAGCTCGAGGTTCCGAAGCGCGATACCTATGATTCAACAGAGCTCAGCAAGCAGTATCTGAAAGCAACTAAATGGCTTGTCGCGGAAGAGAACGAAGAACAGGTACTCAATTGTTTCAAAAGCCTTCATCAACTCGACATAGAGGCCTGCAACCACGTCAAAGAAGCCCTTTCCATATATCGCGAATACTTCAGAGCGTTCTATCGTCGGGAAGGATATTGGAGGCGCAGTGCCCCCTTCCGCGATTTTGGTCTGGGAAATTTTCCCCAGTCACGCCGACAGAATGAGCCATGCGGCACCTTTCACACCTCGAAGATCATGACATTGATCATGTTGATCATTTTCTTGGTCATGTCACTCATCGGCGTCAGCACCAACACTCACGATGACCCTCTGGCTCGAGCGAAGAGCAGATATCTGCAGCATCCCTGGCGATATCGCGAGGTGATCGCGCTGTTAGCAAGCGCGCCGTACGTGTGCAACCTCCCCTTCTCCAAGAACAAGACCATACTCACCACCAATCCCTGGGAGGAGGCATCGCTCGAATTGGGCCGTCGAGCCTTGGAACGGGACTACCGTGAGAAATTCAGCGATACCCCTCCTTGGTCGCAGGTTGCCGCTCTTACCCACACCGATGTGCTGCAAGCTCGAGCGCACCACAAAAAATACAAGAAGGAGGGCGAGGCCGTGAAGGTCCAAGACTTACTGAAGATCATCTTCTCGGGATCAACAACGTCTACATCGAAATCGTCGAACAGCTCTCCGCCAAGCTCGGTAGCGCAGCCGCCCACGTCCTCGTCTGTAGAGCAGACCCCCGATTTGAAACAGCCTGGATCTGCAAGGCTTCCTCCGCACTCGTTCCCAGACACCGCTTCCTCATCCCCAGCCGCAAGCCCGACGCAGACCAGAAACAGGGAGCCTGCCCCAATCGAGAACAACATCTCGCAAGAGCAGCATCCTCGCGGCGGCTTGGGGATCACGGGCATCCCTCAGGGCGAGTCGAGCAGCATTGAGCCCGAGCGCGACGTCGCCCATGGCAAAGCGAAAGCGGATGTCTACCGTGGTGGTAGTTCTGGGGACAGCGAGCCCCCTCCCGATCTCAAAAAGATATTCGTCGACACTGCTAGCCACTTCGTGTTCTCGCCATCGAAACCGCTTCCCCGCAATTACGAGGATCCCGAGCTCACGATCAAGCTTTGGGAACCTGCTGATCAAATTTAGTCCTAGGAATGCTCTCACGCTCTGCCTTGAAGGTTGTAGCATTCGCTCGTCCCGTTTCGCTTTCCATTCTCCTGCCTCGTCTCGTCTCCTTCCCGTTTCCGTGCGTCTTGTCTTATCGTCTGGTCCAGTCTCGTCACTTTGCACATTGTTCACGTCACAGCTACTGTAGCTCTTGCGTTCGGCTTCATTCTTCATCCTTCATCCTACCAACCAACAAAGTTATCATGTCTCGCATCCATTTTGTCATCGATCTCCAATTTTCCCCGTCTATACGAGCGCTAGATGCGCCACCTAACACTTTGCAAGTCTTACTGATGCTGGCATCGCTCAAAAACTCAAAGCAAACATACGTACAAGTCTCCCTACACGAATGTCATTTGTTGCAGCGACCGTCGGGCTGAGCTGAGAGGTCAAAGAGCGAAGCACAAGGCGCATCCGGATCAAGGGTAGCGCTCTCGGACGAAGCTGTGCGTCGCGAGTGAGGTCTGAGCAATGAGCCGCCCCGATCTGAGACTCGACTCCTGAACAGGCACAACAACCTCGAAAGATTTTGATGTCGTGCTTAAGAAACGAGCTCACGCGTCGAGGATCACGTGTTGTGTCCGACCCCGCCTCCGAACCTAAAATTCTTCGGCGGGCACGCGCATGACGTACGTACCCTGCTGCTGCTACATGCGTGAAGTCGCCGTGCAAAGTCATGGTTCATCAAGGATCTGGAATCACAACCTTGAATCAAGGAATCACAATGATCGTGACCTCGTTCATCATACGGTCAGAGCCGAGCGATCTCAACGACGAGATTCGACATACATGCACGGATCTGAGATCTCGTGATCCAGACTCACGACTACAAGACGGCGCCCTGCTGGTCAGAAAGTTGGTCAGCAGAGTCTTCGCACGATCCTCTTTCTCTTTGTGCTGTGCCGCAACAGCGTCATCTAGCAGCAGTCGATCAGCAGCGCCGCGCAGCGTGGAATGGTCGGTCTGCCCAAAGGTCCCTTGCCGGGTCACAAGCGCAAGAAGAGCTCCAGCAGCAGCGCAAAGTCTGAGAATGTGAAGCGGGCACAGCAGGCAGAGAAGCGCAACAGATTGAATGCACCTCGACCAGGTGGGGCAAGAGGCGCGGGCGCAGGAGCAGGCAAGGAGGTTCGTCATGGAACAGGCTCGGTGCACGAGCAGGACCTTACGAAGCCCGTAGGTCGTGCCGAAGATCCGAGCAAAGAGAAGGACGCATCGCCAATGCTCGAGCAGGGCAAGAAGCGCACAAAGAGCTTTCCGGAGAGCATGGGAGCTTCTCACTTGGCCCAGTTGGGCTTGGACATTGCAAAGTTGTCAGAGGCAAAGGAGGAAGCGAGGTTGAGGAAGAACAAGGAGAGCGCAGCTTTCAAAAAGGAGAAGAGGAGGAGGAGGAAGAGCAGCAGCGATGGTCGTGATGCTGGCAGTCTAGGTGGGCAGAGCGTACCTGCTCCGACTGGCAAGAAGGGCAGTGCAGATGAGTGCGTGGGGCATCACAAAGATGCGCCGCTTGCATCGCCACCAAAGGCCATCATCTTGTCCAAGACAGCGACTAAGCGCAACCTGATCGAGGAACAGAGGGCGAAAGCCAGAGCTAGAAAGGCGGCCAGAAGGACCAACGCTGCGCTGGCCCAGCGCGCGACCCACGCCGCAGACTCGACGAGATCGTCAGAGCAGTCGGAGATGGACAGTGCACTGCCAAGCTCTGCCAAAGCGCAGCTACCAAAGCGAAAGAGCGTCTCTTTTGCTTAGAGGGTGCGATGCAGGCGCGTCGCTTGAGCACTGAGCCACAGAAAGCGCCTTGGCGCGCTTAGAAAAAGTTTGGAACCACGCAGCAGCGCATTCACTATAGGCCTCTTTCAAGTCAACTCTTCAGGGACACGAGTCTCACGAGCGGGCCTTTCACACGGATCGTCCATTGTCCCTTGAAAGCACAAATGATTGCTTGCACCGATTCGAGGCAACGTGTTGCCCGATCACTAGCTTGGTCTGGAATCAGCTTACTGGTGCGTCATGCACGGCCACTTTGGGACCTGCGGTCTCGATAGCTCTGCAAGACGAGTCACAATCACCACCTCTTGCCGTTCGCCATTAGACAATGTCGAAGGCGGACGGCGTCAGCTGGATGCTTTGGGAGATCGATCGTCACGCCAAACGAGCGCCTGGCTGCGGCAACGCCCTTCTCTAATGCGTCCGGAGAGAGGCAATCCTCTTCAAGAGAGCTGCTTCCTCCTCTCGAGTCGTCACCCACTGTCCTTGCGCATGGTCCCAATGGATGCGTTCTCCTTCTTTGTGTCCAGGTCCATGGATCGCATATCGGCCTGGCGTAGTCACGTCGTTCCACTGCAGAGCGAGATCGTTATGTTCGTGATCAGCCATTGCTGTTCGGCTGCATCCCCACGGTCCTATTGGAAGCCCAACCCCCACAGAGTGCCCGGGAAAGAGATACCGAGAAAACGTTGGTCGAGCAATATCCTACTCACAATCTTGGGCCAGATTGGACGAGGATTGAAGTCTGTGGACAGGTCGCCATTGTACATTCTGAACACCCCGCTCTCGCCTCCCTCTTTGCGATCAAAGACGTGCAACAGCACTCGGTCCGAAGATCTTGTAAAGTGGACGCGGTTCGGGGCGGCAGAGGTCTGGTGGATGGGCATGCCATCATTATGGGAGATGGCAGCAACGTGCCAGGGTTAGCTGATTTCGAATCAGCAAGCAAGGACCAAAAAATTGCGCGGGGGCACGCACCAAAGAGAAACTCACAAAGATTTCGTTGCCGTACTTGTTGCTTTTGGGAAGCCGCGCGAGCCGGGCAAAGTGAACCAGATCAGAATGCATGCGTCAATTCGTGTTTGTCTTTCCTCTCACGAGGCGATCTCGAGTTCGCAATTGTTTGAAAAAGTCTGCACGACGCACCGTAAGAGGGGTGAAGCGAAGCACGCGTCGCTCAATGCCATGATTACGCATGCGCAGAGAGCGCAAGAGACGATTCTCATTTTTGCGGAGAAAGATGGGGTGGACAAGGACCAGCCTTGAGGCACTTGTTGAAGAAGCTCTGTGCGGAATTTGAGCATAGAACCTTGGTTGAAAGGTCCCTCTTCTTTGAAAGCCTTGACGGAGCCTGCCGTTCGAGTTTCACTTTCGAGTGCATGAAGCAAGCAGCTCAAGAATGAATACGATTCGGGAGGGCTGCATCTCTTCGAAGAAGGCTCGTTCTATTTGACCATCGTTCTGAAAAGCACGAGGCTTCGAGGCAGTACGCGCAAGACTGCCTTCCCCGAAAAGTGGCAACGTTGCACTCAAAAGTCGTAGAGGCAGGCGCGCGCAAGACTCGGTACTGGGGTGGTGGTATGCTGCGCACGTCATACCGCCAGCGGCTCTCCATCCATCATCTTGCAGCAATCCATCCCAGCGGCGCGAATGCGAGCGGGAAAGAGCGCGGATGGCTTGCCATGCTTCGGAAGTGCCAAGTCCTGCTCTTCTATTGCTGATGCGCGAAAGGCCGAACGTCGGTCCGCGCAACGGGACCGAAGCGGCGGGAAGGGGGGGACCCAAGTAGGGCTCAAAGATGCACAGTGTGGATGTCATGTTCCCGTTCAATTCAATCTCCAAGACTGATCACGCCATGCCGGTGATTCTCGTCGTGCTTCACACCGCGCGTTTGACCCTGCACTTCACGAAGCAATGCCCAGGTTCAAGGGAACAAGTGTCGGTCCGGGTGCGGATACGAGTCTAGAGTGCGGAGCCTTTCCGATCTTGACTCAAAGATCGCGCAAGTTGAGATGAACAGTCGTGGCGCGATGCGTTCGCTGGCCGTGTCGTGCTGCTCAATCAGACGCCTTCATGATGCTGCTTCTAGAACTTGTGCCACCACCGGGCATGACCGACGTCTGTCACATTTTGCGCAAAAAAATGTTGAGACAGACTGCAAGATGCTCGTAGGACTTGGCACGCTTTTGCGCGGCGTGCCTCGTGTAAACTTTGCAAGGCTCCCCTAACGAGCGGGATCGCGTGGCGTGCAACGGCTGAGATGTCCCGCAGATCACAGGCACTGTGCTGGCAATACCGGACAGCGAAGATCGATTGTGTGGCACAGCAAGTGTGGCAGGCGTCTCAATGAGACACTCTACTACAGTGTGAATTTCACACTCCCTAGGATTACCCATGCTCATTTGCATGATGAGGTCTTCTTTGATGTGAGGTGGCACTGCCTGGCATCGTCGTGGGTGGCAGCCGCCCTGGGATCGACTCGTTCAGGGCCAAGACGGCATGCGAAGCCTGGCAAGTCAACGAAGCTCTCGTTCGGAATTCTTTCGGACGACGTGCAATCAGCAAACGTGATGCGATCCCATTCGTTATGAAAAGATGGACGGAGTCGCCTCAAAGGTTCTCCTTGCGTGATCATACCTCTCAGTAGTGTAGGTAAAAATTTTGATGGGATGGCGTCCATAACGCCGAACCATGATCTCCTTCCAAGGTCGAGCGCTGGTGAGTTTGACGTGATGGCGGCCGGGCGAGCTCAATCAAACGTCAAATTGAAGAGCACGCAAGCCGAGTGTCGAATGACGCAGGCCAGAGAGCGGATCTTGCAAAAAACGCCCCGCCACAAATCATTCGCCCCATTGCGGGCAAGGGTCAGAAAGAAGTCGGACCGCGTTGATCAGTGGCGCGGGGGCCGCAAATTTAGGCAGGCTTCGGACCCGCCAGACCAAGGTAGCGGGCGAGCAGATGGGGCGGGTACGCGATCAGCTTTGGCAGATCGGTCTGCCACGCCGCTAGCGATCTACCCATGAGTAATGGCGACCCATGCGGCGAGTGTACAAGCTGGACAAAGTAGCGGCGTGAGGCTAGCTAACGCTATGCCTGACCAATTTGCGCGTATTGTGCTCGAGCTCGAACACTCCAAGAGTATGCGAGAGCTGACGAGCAGAGAGACGGCGACATGGTCCGAAGAGATGCTTCCTTGAGCAGGATGCGCCCAAAAAGTGTTCCAGAGCGCTTCGATGAACGTCTCTTGTGCTTGAAGCGTCGTTAACACTGCCAACGTATTTCGAATGCGCAAAGCGGCAGCGTAGATGCTCAGACCCATGGCGAGAAACGTAAAGTGAGGTGCGTCGCTTGGAGGTAAAAGGACGAGAAAAAGAGGAAAGACGTGCATGGTGAGGATCTGCAGCAAGTCTCGAGGAGGCGAAGACACTGCCCATGCCCCAGCCGCAAAGAAGACCAATTCCAAAAGCAGCACCCCGCTTGCTGCGCTGGTCTGCCTCTTGTCTTGAGGGCGTCTCCCCTTTCCAGGTGCGCTGGAAGAGCTAGAGTCGTCTGATGGGCTTGTACTTGCGTCTGTAGTATCCTCGGCTACGGCGAGGAAGGAAAGGGCAGCAGCGACGCTGATGGCTACGATCTGACCCAGAATCATGTACGCGGCAGCATACCTGAGCTTGCCTTGGCGCTCTACGCGCATACATGCGGACACCCAGGATGCGCAGTCTTTAGCTTTCGCAGTTCGAGCAAGCAGCGAGAAGAAGAGGAGCGCACACTCACGCCTCGCTCTTATCCACAATGTCCAAGCACCTGTCGTGATGACGCAAATTTCGGAGGAGAACCACCATTCGCGGGGACCTTGCACCACCCTTAGCCAAGCTTGTTCGAACAGACGCGTATTGTCCAGCCAATCCTTGAGGCGTCGCAAGGTGGATGCCTCGAGCGTGCGGCTGCTATTCACATAGTCTACGTATGAATAGCGTAGAAATGCGAGCATGCTAAGGTGAAATTCGAGCTGTGTTCAACAATCGCGTGTATGCGCTCGTTGGAAGCCTCTATAGCGGCGCGTGAGCACTCACAAGTACCACGTGGAAGCCAGCGAGAGCAGGCTACCCGCCTTCCACAGCGGTGAACGCTTGCTGGACACGCCAGACGCAGACGAAGCCTTGCTGTACACCCACCCCAGCAGCGCTGCGCACGTAGCCAGATAGGTCCACAAGATGAGCAAGCTGGGACTACTGAGCGCTACGAGCAGCCCGCTCGCGCTCGATGACCAGCTGCTCTCGCTGAGCCGCATCACGAATCAAGCGCAGCAGACGTGAGTACAAGTCGATGGTGACTTCGATTTCGATGTACCGCAATCCTCGATTTGCAATGTGAAATGGCGCGGTCTTGCCCAAGCGGCGAAACTTGACTCTTGAGTGTGCGCGGTGGTGCTGACGATAGCTCGAGCGTCGAGGGCATTGGTAACAAATATTTGTGTGAAAGCTCGTGAAAACGTGTCCCATATGAGCCGGTGCGTGATGTTCTTCTTACCTGTTTGAGCACGTGACCGTACCCCCGACGCGGATCGCCTGAAGTCGCGAATCACGTGAATACTTGAATGTACGGACGGACAGGCGCGCGCAGTGAAGTGAGCTGCTGATGGATGGATGGATGGATGGATGGATGGATGGATGGGTTCGATCGATCCCTGCATGCGGCGCGACGCGGACTTTTGGGCGCGCGGCTCATCCGACATACAAACGTGAATCAGAATCACAATGAGAACTGGTATAGGCGCTTAGCGTCGAACAGTTGAGTCGTGGGTTGCTCCATGCATGCCCCGGTCAGAGTTAACAACAACAGCAGGCAGCGCATCCATTCAGAAAGGTCAGCATGATCGATCGATGAGCAGACGACCAGAGCGGGGCGGAGCAGAGCATCATGGCTGCGCTTCTCCCCCTGTGCCCCAGCCGCTGCAGCAGAATCTGAATGCAGCAATTAAGCAGCAGCAGAGCGGGTAAGCAGTCGTGAGTGATGACGATCACTAATTGCTATTTGCGGCATGCGTACAGTCCGTGAGTATACATAGCTCGCTTGAGGTAAGCATCCAACAACACATCGCGCGAGTACAGTCACGAGTGTGAGTGTGAGTGTGAGTGTGAGTGTGAGTGTGAGTGCGAGTGCGAGTATGAGTTGTGAGTATATCAGCAGCCCGCCGGCAGGACTTTGCAAGAGCCTAGCCTATAGCTTCACGGAAAGCTGCACGCTGCTGCTGCTGCTGCTGCTGAATCGGCAATCATCACGAACGATGTGGAGGTTCGCATGCAATCAGGCAAAGTCGATCGAATAGACCTCAGCATGAGCAGCGTGCGTGCGTGCGTGCGTGCTCAGACTTGACTCACGCGCAAGCACATATACACATCGCACAATGAAAACCCACCTTCATGTTCTCCACCATCACGCTGCCATTGCCGCCCGCCCGCCTGCTCTAGAACCCCTTCCCAGCTACATCCTGCTCAGACTTTGCGCGCGCGCGCGGGGGGGGAAACAAAACAATGGCAAAGTACAGATCTCACAAGCGCAAGATCGACAAGGATCGTCAATTGGCAGGATGGAGATCCGCTCTCAACAATCCCTCCACCACCAGCGCCGGTAGGAGCCACGCGCGCAAACAGTTGCTCATGGTGAGTCTTCGCAAGTGCAAGAGTCGGTCAGAGTTCATGAGTGAGAGAGAGAGAGAGAAAATCATTTGAGGAAGGGGGGGGGGGGGGGAGCACATTCAGCGCAACTCGCTCCCCTCTCTTCGTGCCCTCGTCGCTCTTCGCTCCTCTCAGCAAGTACCATAACCCCCTCCCTCCCAAAGCTGACCATGCAAGCCGCCCCATGTCGAATCGTGAAATCTGACCTGACAGAGAGGACACGTAGGAGATGCGCTCTTCTCCACCAGCATCAATACGCGCATACGGCGCATGTTGGGTCTGCGTGCCAAATCTCACGGATAACGTCCGCGCGCGCGGGCGTGCGGGGCGTGCGGGGCGTGCGCGACGAGATGCGCCCGCCCGCCCTCGCAATCCGCGACCCTCGAACGTGCCATGCTCATACCCACGACCCGTCGCGAGTTGCTCCACTGCTCAAGTCCAACGAAAGAGAGAAATTTTTGCATCAAGAACGTCCGACCTGAGAACGCACGGCAGGAGGAAAGGTGTGAATCATGGGGTGCGCGTGCGCGTGCCCGCGCTTCATCCATCGCTAGAAGCATGGCGAATACGAAATGCGAACCCGCCATGTCAAGGCACATGTGCTCCCTCTTTCCCCCACCCGAACTTCCCTTCGCTTCGAATGACGTGCGCTCGCCTCGACCTTGCCTGCCCCTTGTATCCTCACCTAGCGCTACTTTCTACGCCCTGCACACGCGAATGCATATACCCATGCCCCCCGAAGCACCGCGTCTGCTTCTTTAGAGGTACCGAGCCAAAAAGTACCTGCGGGCACTGCTAACCCCTCCTCGCCGAAACTGCGTCTCGTACGTGCTTGGAGGCGTATGTCGCTGCTCTTTGAGATAAGGTCGCCCACTGTCATCACGCGTCAGTCTCGAAGCGTGTAGGACAAGCGATCTATCTCCCGGATTGAATAGGACCATACAGCTCGCCTTCGAAGCGAGCGACAAGCCTACGTCTCGTCTGATCCCCCCGCGTGCGCGCTCTCTCTCAGCAATGATTGTACTTGCCCTCTTGACGACGTTTGAGCGTCATAGCAGCGATGATGGCGCTTCCTACACCGCTACCATCCTCTGCTTGATGGCTTCTGATCTTGACGTCTTTGCCAAACTGATCGTACAGAGCTTGGTGAAGGCGGTCCGCAAAGTCTGCGCGATAGCCCAAGATGAAAGGGGAGGGGGGGAG